TAGAACCCGGATCAAATAGAACTGAGGCATCTCTACTGCAAACTAAAACCGTACCTCTGATAACCGCGTTAGATGACTCAGCCTCAAGCCTGGCTGGAAAGGCATAGCATCGCAGCTGAGCCCTACCACTCTGGACTACATCTCGAGGACGGGCCCTGGCTGGCTGGCCTCCACCTCTAGCGGCCTGACCTCCACCTCTAATGGCCTGACCTCCACCTCTAGCTGCCTGACCCCTACCCCTAGCTGGATGAGCGGGAGGTGAAGCACCTGGTACCAGAACCGTGGCACGAGAACTCTGATGCTGAGAACTGCTTGATGCTCGAGGGAAAAATCTAGCAATCTACCTCGGATCACCACAAGTATAACAAGACCTCGACTGATGTGGCTGCTAACCCTGAAACTGACCCTGTTGGCCTGAGTAACCACCCTGAAAACTCTGGAGCAGAGGTGCACTAATAGGAGCCGACGGTGCACTGTAGGCTAGCTGATCGGGATAAGGCATATGAGAGCCACGACCACTTGAAGTACCGTGGGATGCCTGATGGCCTAGGAGGATGGCCTCTACCAAAAGTACCCCGGCCTTGATGTGCTGGAGAATTTCGGCACATTTAACACAAATTGCTTAGATTTTAGCTTGTTTTAAATGCAATTATATTATATGCTTATGTAATTTTAATGTTTTTGCAGTGTATGAGGTTTAAGGACCTAAGATCATGAAAATGAAATCAAAAGGCCGTAAAAGGTCAAGAAAAGAGCAAAATGCGATCGCAGATGGGAAATTGCGGACCGCAAATCCAACATGCGGATCGCATAATGCTAAAAGGAATCGCAAAGCCCAACAGTCTATTGGCCAAATTCAAGTGCAAGAAATGCGGTCCATTATGCGACCGCGTAACAGGTTTGCGGGTCGCATAATGGATCGCAAACTCCCTGTAGAAGTTGCTGAATGCGGAAAATACGGTGACTAATGCAATTGCAAATCAGCAATGCTGACCGCAGAACCTAAATGCAACTAACACCTGGGAACTAGGGTTTTGAAGTAGCGATGGCTGTGACGATAATGCGGACCACATGTCTGTTATGCGACAGAAATGCGGTCGCATACTTGACCTGGAAGGGTATTTTTGTCCGAATTTGGTCCCGAGTTTTGGCCCACTATAAATAGATTTGTTGGGATTTTGTGGGGGCATCTTGTCTTGTTTTTGAGCTACAAGCCAACCTTTGAATATTCCTCTCTTTTGGAAGCTTTAGGAGTGAAGAATCTTGCACTTTGTAAGCTTTATGGCATTTAATATTCTCATCTTTTTGTATTTTAGTATGAGTAGCTAGCTTTAAATACTACGGGGTGGACCCTAAATGGGTGTTATGTTAATGGGTGATTAACATTGAATATATATATATATATATATATATATATATATATATATATATATATATATATATATATATATATATATATATATATATNTGCTTCTCATTCTTCATTTATTGTTGGTGGTTGCAAACATTAACAAGTTCCATTAAACTCTTTCTTGACTTGGAAAAGTTGGTTAGAGTTTGGTAGAAGTAAATATCAAAGACTCAAGGCTTTAAACCTTGTTTAATAGAACCGCTTAGGAATACGTGGATTTTATTTGCCATAAATTGATTACTCTTAATTGAAACTCTTTTATATTTGGAAAATCATAAAGAGGAAATACTACCCAACTATTGGAAAATATTGGATAGTCATTTAGAAATCATTTGCATATCTAAAGGACCTTCCATTAGAAATATATCATATTAACACCGATAGCATTACATTCAATTAACGGGAACACAACCTTGGTTTCCTTAATCAAATTATTTACATTCTCAACGTTACAATTAGTTATCTCTTCAAATCACAATCATATCATACTCTTGTTACAATTAACGGAATAGAATTATGACTTAAGTCAAGTAGCACACTACTTGGGTAACCTTTTCACGCCTATTCCCTGTGGGATTCGACCCCAACCTTGTTGGGTTATTATATTTGACACCGACCGCTTTACACTACTTAATTAAAGTGTAATTTGAGCGTATCAAATTTTGGCGCCGTTGCCGGGGAATATGGTTTTGAAATTACTAATTAGTGTGTGCTTTACTTTACGTCTTATTCTATTCCATCACACTTTGCTTGTTTTGCTTGGTGTTGATAGGAAGACATGGCCGAATACGAGGAAGAAATGGATGAAAATCCTTTTACAGACATAGATGAGTACATTGAGGATACAAATGCTATTGTACCTCCGGTTGTTGGTGCTTCAACTTTCAAAGTTGAACATGGTCTAATCCTAATGCTCAAAGCGGAGGGGTTTTTTAGGAATTCCACTGATGATGATCCGACACAACACCTTAGGAACTTTTTGGGTGTATGTGCTATGCATAAGCAGAACAACGTCTCAGATGATGCCCTAAGGTTGAGGGTGTTCAAGTACTCACTAGCTGGGGACGCAAGGAAGTGGCTTCAAAATTTGCCACCAAGTTCCATTCATTCTTGGCCTAAACTTGTCCGAGCATTCTTAGCTAAATGGTTCCCGCAAAGCAAGAAATCTGAGCTTCGGGATAAAATTTTCTTCTTCAAGCAACTATCGGGAGAACATCTACATGAAGCATGGGATCGATTCAAGTTATACTTGGTGAGGTCACCCAATCATGGTTTTCCGGACTCTATCTTGTTGGAGAAATTCTCCATGGGTTTAGATGCTATTAACCAATCTATAGCCAAGAATACAGCTGATGGATCTTTTATGGACAAGACATTCGCAAGGATCACACAAATCCTTGACAAAATGGCACAACACAATCAAGCTTGGCATTCAGAGGACACCACAGGTGGAATTACATATGGTTCTCCCTCCTTGACCAACCTGATTAAGGAGAATCAAGAGAGAGATCAAGTAATAGCAGGGCTTGCCACCAATGTCAACGTGTTGACAAAGATGTTCTCTGAAAGCCAAACGAAAAAGGTAAATGTGGTGGAGGATGTGCAACCCATGTCAAATGAAGACTTTGAGGAAGCAAACTATGTCAACAACTCTCAAGGAGGATATCAAAGGCAACAATACCAAGGTCAAGGACAACAAAATCAATGGAGGCCTAACCCGCAAGGGGGCAACCAACAGTGGCGAAATGAACAACGTAGCTCAAATCAAGGAAATTGGAATAACAACAACAACTTCTCAAATCGTAGTTCCAACCCTTATGTTCCACCAAAGGGTCAATATCCAAATCAAGGGTCCTCAAGTGATTCCAAGTTGGAAAGCATGCTTGAACGTGTATTGCAAAATCAAGAGAGGTCCGACACTTCTATTAGGAATATGACCGAGTTTGTGGGTTCTCATACCGCATCCATTCGAAAATTGGAGATGCAAATGAGAGACCTTTCTAGGGAACAAAATCCAAAGAAAAAGGGAACACTTCCTAGTGACACAATTGCGAACCCAAAGGGTAGTGGAATTGGTCCAACTTCTCACATCATGGCAATTACTACTCGGAGTGGGAAGGTACTACAAGGAGAGAGTGAACAAGCGGTTGAAGTAGAAGAGTCCGAGCAAGAGGTTGAGGTTGAAGAGCCAAGGGTTGTTGAAGTTGAAAAGGTTCTGGAAGAGTGGAAAGTTCAAGAAGTGAATCGGGAAGAGGTAAAGGAAAAGGTAAAAGAGACACCAAAAGCTCTACCACCTATTCCTAGAACTCCTCCTCTTTTTCCTCAAAGACTTGCGAGGAAGGTTGATGATAGAAAACTTGAAAAGTTCTATGACATTCTCAAGCAATTATCGGTAAACATTCCATTCGTGGAAGCATTTCAAGAGATGCCGGGTTTTGCTAAATATTTGAAGGACTTGATCACAAAGAAAAGAACCACCAAGAATGAAGTGGTAAATGTGACTCACCGAGTTAGTTCCATCATTGCAACAACTACCGTTCAAAAGAAAGAAGACCCGGGAGCTTTCACCATTCCATGTACTATTGGGGCACGTGATTTTGTAAGATCTCTTTGTGATAATGGGGCTAGCATTAACATAATTCCTCTTGCTATTTACAAGCAAGCGGGATTAGGTATGCCGAGACCTACAAGTATGAGGTTACAAATGGCCGATTGTTCTATATAGAGATCGGTGGGAATTGTTGATGATGTGCTTGTGAAAGTGGGAGAGTTCCATCTACCCGCCGATTTCGTCATCCTTGATTGTGCAGTTGACAAAGAGATCCCTATCATCTTGGGGAGACCATTCCTTGCCACAGGAAGAGCACTAATAGATTCGGAACGGAATAAGATCAAATTCCGTGTAAATGATGAAGAGATTACATTCCAGGCAAGCAAGGGTATGAAACTACCACATGCATATGAAAGCATCTCGGTGATTGATGTTGTTGATGAAGTGGAATATGCGGTTGAAATGAAGATGGAAGAACAATGCCTAGGTGAGGCATTGGCGGCTATTTTGGTAAACTTTGATGGTGAAGATATGGAGGGGTATATGGAATCAGTCAATGCATTGGAAGGGCTTGGGTCTTACACCTATGCTCCGAAGAAGCTCTCTCTCGACTTGGAGAATAGAGCCACTCCTCCCGCAAAGCCTTCAATCATTGAGCCACCATAACTAAAGCTCAAACCATTTCCACCACACTTGAGGTATAAATTTCTTGGCTCAAATGATACTTTACCGGTAATTGTCTCTTCTTTGTTGAATGATGTGCAGGTAGAGCAATTGTTGAATGTCTTGAGGGAGCATAGGCAAGCTATTGGATGGACAATTGCGGATATCCGGGGGATTCCCGCCGGAATCTGCGAACACAAGATCCAATTGGAGAATGGGAGTAAACCAAGTGTGGAGCATTAACGAAGGTTAAACCCTTCAATGCAAGAAGTGGTAAAGAAAGAAATCATCAAGTGGTTGGATACCGGGGTAGTCTACCCTATTTCCGATAGTTCTTGGGTGAGCCCGATGCAATGTGTGCTGAAAAAGGGAGGCATGGCTGTGATTGAAAATGAGAAGAACGAGCTCATCCCAACAAGAACGGTGACCGGGTGGAGGGTGTGTATGGATTACCGGAAGCTAAACAGTGCTACGTGCAAGGACCATTTCCCTATGCCTTTTATTGATCAAATGCTTGATCGGCTAGCAGGAAGGTCATTCTATCGCTTCTTGGATGGATACTCCGGCTACAATCAAATCAAAATTGCATTGGAAGATCAGGAAAAGTCAACATTCACTTTTCCATATGGGACGTTTGCATTTAGCCGGATGCCATTGGGGTTATGCAATGCTTCCGCCACTTTCCAAAGGTGTATGATGTTAATATTCTCCGATATGGTGGAGGATTTCTTAGAGGTATTCATGGACAAGCAAGAGTTTAAGTTGGGGGTGTTGATGTGCTGGAGAATTTCGGCACATTTAATACAAATTGCTTAGATTTTAGCTTGTTTTAAATGCAATTATATTCTATACTTATGTAATTTTAATGTTTTTGCAGTGTATGAGGTTTAAGGACCTAAGAACATGAAAATGAAATTAAAAAGCCGCAAAAAAGGGCAAGAAAAGGGCAAAATGCGATCGCAAATTCAACATGCGGACTGCATAATGCTAAAAGGAATCGCAAAGCCCAACAGTCTGTTGGCCAAATTCATGTGCAAGAAATGCGGTCCATTATGTGACCGCATAACAGGTTTGCGGGCCGCATAATGGATCGCAAACTCCGTGTAGAAGTTGCTGATAGCAGAAAATGCGGTGACTAATGCGATCGCAAATCAGCAATGCGGACCGCATAACCTAAATGCGACGAACACCTAGGAACTAGGGTTTTGAAGATGTGATGGTTGTGACGATAATGCGGACCGCATGTCTGTTATGCAATAGAAATGCGGTCGCATACTTGACCTGGAAGGGAATTTTTGTCCGAATTTAGTCCCGAGTTTTGGCCCACTATAAATAGATTTATTGGGGTTTTGTGGGGGCATCTTGTCTTGTTTTTGAGCTACAATTACCAATGAGAGAACAAAATCGCACAACAGAGAAGAATAGAAGTGAAATTTGTTCCTAAACATCATAGCCTCTGGAAGATAAGTACAGACGTCTACCAATCCTCCAAACTCTACTAAGCCTACTCGTGAATTGTGAGACCTAGGCAACCTAGGGCTCTAATACCAACTTGTCACGACCCGGCATTCCCATCGTCGGGACCATGATGGCGCCTAACATTTCAATTGTTAGGCAAACCAACGTTAGAGGTGTTTACCGTGAAAGTGGTAATAACAATTAAATTAGTCGATGGGACTCTAAAAATACGTGATCTATTTTTATGCTAGTTGTTAAGAAGTTGATGCTAGATAGGTGAGACTTAGGAACAAGATAAAGGTTAAGGAGAGAGTGATAATCAAACCGATAGGCTAGTCAATCGGGGCCTCGAGCTTGTCAATTCGGGGCCTCGAGGCCGATTCCGGGGCTCGGCTACGAGCTATCGAGGGTGATCGGGGTAGGGCTAACAGATATAAGATAACTAACGAAGGCTCTTTATGGCCAATGATAAGCAATAAATGAAGAACAAGTATGAAGATAATAAATGAAAGCAATAATAACAAGAAAGTATGTTAGAGAGCAGAGAGAATGTTCTTTGTATATTCGTGTGGAGCAGCTGAAGCAACAGACATTACAAGAATGACATGGATCCCCTTTATATAGGAGGGGAATCTCAATGAAGTACAAGAGGCATTAATTACAAAGATAGGGAGATGGGACAACTAGATGATACCCTGGCTCGGATTCAGAATAGACCAGTAGACTCTGTCAGCCCTAGGCGTATGCCTTGGGAACTCCCCATCTCTACCATTATCGTGACCAATGCTACCATGGGGTCGAGTGTCGACGACCCTCGAGGAAGGATGCTCGACCATGGCCTCGAGCCTTCGAGGTGGTCTTCCGAAGTGCCTTAATGATGAGAAATTGGATCTTCCAATTTTGCCGTATACAGATAGTCTCCGCGTTTCATAGAACGAAGCGATAGGAAACGATTTTGATATCCAACTCTTCGGGCTTCCCGTGATGACGTCATACTGATGATATCGACTTGTGACGCGAGCCTTCACGATAACCGGGATGTCTCATGGACTTGTCTTTTCAGCGCCATTCAATGCACTACCAAGGATGGACCTTCGAGGGTAGGCTAGGCTCTAGGGTTTTGCTGTATGTGCACCCTTTCACTTCTTTGTTTCTATGTAAGGACCCCTCGTGGGCTTTAGTAATCATATGTAAGGACCCCTTGTGGGCTGTTGTAATCGAATGTTCATGAATACAAAGATGTTTCTTCAATTCTGTCTTTGATGCTTGCTGTTTTCCTTTTATTTGTGCTTATGGAAACTCTGAATGCATGATCCTAGCGGTCGTTGTCGATATCGAGCCCAAGTGGGAGTGCAATTCTCTGACCTTTGATTGTTTGGTATGGCTCCCCGCAGAACCGTTTGCCTTTTCTTAGACCAAACCCGGGTTGGACCGATAGACTTGGGTCGTCGAAACCCTTACTTCGGGCTGAATGAGGATAACACTTCAAACCTTCAAACTTTCGAGAACAGTCCTTAGGCCTTGCAATACTCTTTGAGGGAAATTTGCTCGGGACCCTTAGAATAGGGTCTGCCTTTCAGCTCTCGAGGGCAGTCTCCGAGCGGGGTTCGTTCAAACCTGAGCCACCCGGAAACTTGTTTTGAACTCATCGTAGATAGCCCTAAGGCGCTATTGGTAGATCAAAAACGAGGTTTTACCCGAACTTAGATGATACCGCATGGTCAAGCCCATATGGGTGGAGCTTAAATGCTTGTTTCTTTGGTGCTTATCTCCCTTTTGGCGGAGGTCCTCGAGGTCGGGTACCACCTCGGGACTTGTAACGATGCCGTCGGCTTATTGGAGCGTAACTTCTTCTTGGTGGAGATCCTCGAGGTCGGGTACCACCTCGGGATTGGCGATAATGTTGTCGGCTCCCTGGATCCTAACTTTTCTTGATGGAGATCCTCGAGGTCGGGTACCACCTCAGGATTGGCGATAATGTTGTTGGCTTCCTGGAGCATAACTTCTCTTGATGGAGATCCTCGAGGTTGGGCACCACCTCGGGATTTGTGATAATATTGTTGGCTTCTTGGAGCCTAACTTCCCTTGAGGGAGATCCTCGAGGTCGCGTACCACCTCAGGATTGGTGATAACGTCTTTAACCTTTTAGGCAGGAGGATCGTCGCCGCTTTTTCCATATATAGGGTCGTTTGTGCCCCTTTGGAGACCCCATTATTTTACGCGGTTATCTTTCCTTTTCTGGGTTGAGCCTTTCGCTACTTCGGTGCTAACGTACTTGTATAAATTCCTGCTTTAGTTCCCTGATTTTGCCACCTCCATGACTACTACATCGGGGTTTGTTCGGCAGAGAGGGGAGAATTCCGCCTCCAGTATTCAGGACCAGCGAGAGCGTACCTCGAAGATTGCTTCTTCGATAAGAGAAGAACACCTTGGGCTGGTGAGAAAAGACTTTTGGCGGATAGTGTTGATGATGAGATTTTTCGCGGAGAAGGCGGGGCTTGACTTCATGCTCAGTCATCTCATCCGGTTGTACCGTCCCTTTCATCATCGGGGCTTGTTAACCTTGCGATGCCGGTTGACCACGCCATTCATCATCGATGATGAAGAGGATGGAGATTGAGAGTGGATGAGTCGATTTGTCCGAGTCCGAACGGATGACATTATCCCTGTGGAACTTATGCCATTCCCCGAGGAATGGAATTATACACGTAAGTGGCACACTCCGTACCTTCTCAATTTCGTTTGCGGTGAAGGCTGATTTTGTAACCGTGCCATTTTTTCTTCTTCTGCAGCGGTTGCATGGGCGCCGAGTGACATTCCCCGGATTGGGTTCGGAAGATGGCGACCCACTCGACTTGTGACGAGCGCAGGTGGCGAGCTGTGTCCCGGGGCAGATGGGGAGCAAAACATCATGGTGTGTGTTGTGGTTTTCCTTTCCCTTCTTTCATTTGGAGAGGCAATTTTCCTTTCTGCGAGTTAACCTTGTTGTCGTAGGAATCGAAAAGCCTTTCGAGGCGAGGCCGCGCTCCTTTGAGGAGGGGGAAGGGTCGTTAGCCTCCAGGCTAAAGAACGATAACAACAAGCGGGAGATGCCTTTACAGGGTGATGGCGCTCAAAGCAGGGCGAGGCTGGACCCGGGTTCCGGAGCGGAAGCATCATCCGAGCCTGCAGTGCCCGTGGTTCCCGGTTCTCAAAAGGTGGTTTCTCTGTTGCTACCGCCTTCTCATCCCGTTGATAGTGCTTTGGGGGGTACTAGAAACTCGGGGTCGCCTTCCCCGAGCGACTGTGTATCGACCGGAGTCAATTCTTTTAGAGCTAAGGGAGCTAGGTTAACGGATGCACGTTCAGCCTTCGAGGAAGCCCAGCGGTTTCACTTTGTGGTGAGTTTCGACATAGGCCTTCGAATTTCGCGCCTTGCCTTTCTTATTGGGTTTTCTTTTGCAGGCCTTCGACATGCTTAAGTCCGGGCTGCTTCATCGTAAAGCCCGGCTGCGAAAAGCTCTAGATGAAGAGAGATCCCTTAGGCTCCTTTGCGATGAAAAGGAAACTGAGCTGGAACACTTGCGGTACAAGGTGAGCCGGAGCTTGAATTACGAGAGCTTTTTGAAGGAGCAGGTAGCTTTCCGTCCCGTGTGAGTATATGTCCCGCCTTCTGGCTTCTGAAGCTAAAACTTTGTTTATTTCAGTTGCAGAAAAGGACGGAGGCCTTGGAGCGTCTTGGGGATGAAGTTGGCCGAGCCAAGAATGAACATGATGAGCTAAGAGCTCTGGCAGAGGTTCAGTCTTTAGAGGAGAGGGGTGCGCTGGCTAAAGTTCCCAACCTCGAGGCCCAACTCCGCTTAGCCTGTGACAATGCTTTGGCTCAAGCGGACGCGATTGCGAAGCTCGAATCCGAGCTTTCGAAGGTAAGTGCCGAGATTATTGATGCCCGAGCTGAAGCTGTAACGAGCTGAACTAAGGCTGACCAAGAGATGGCGATCCACTTAAAGGATGCTACTGATGCTCAAGCTGAGTTGAGAAGGATCCTTGATCGTGAAGAGAGGATTAAAGAATATGCTCATTGCAAGTCTTGAAGGAAGATTCTCGAGGAGATCTGCGCTAGGGGATTTGTTCTCTCGGAAGAGTTAGCGCGAGCGAGGGCGGACGAGCGCGATACTCGGTTGCTTCTGTCTGACGTTGGAGAAAGCGAAGATGAGGTTGGCAGGCCGTAGCTCCCAGGGGAGCGTAGATTTTTTCCATCTGTATGTAGTATTTTCAAAGCATGTTTGTAGATGGAGATTGTATTTTTCGTATATGTGTATAAGGAAACCCTTGCGGCTTTATTTCTTCCGTATCTCTTTCTGTCTCGAATTTGGCCAGGTGAACTGGTCTTTGAATTGATAGGAATCCTTAGATTCGTGATATGACCCTGGGGCTCATTAAGCTGGCGATAATGGCTCTTATGCCTCTGGTCGAAGTGACCTTTCAGTATAAGCTGGCGTTTGAGCCCTTATGCCTTTTGCCCTGGGGCATTTTCAGTTAACTGTTTTGGGTTCATTCTTCGAGTCGGGTTTCGACTTGAACTCGTTCGGCCCTCAAGTGTTCAGATTTTGTGTTTGTTGGCGACAATTGCTCTTACGCCTTGGATCAAAGCGGCCTTTTGTGTGGGCTTTATTTTTCCCTCGTTAAGGCATTTTACCGA